ATAGTATTTTATTAGTATGGGTAAGAGTAGAGGACTCTTAGGATTTTAATGTGTTTCCTGCATGCCAGCACAGTGTTTTAAGTATATTTGGTAAAAGGTTTCAAATAGGTATAATTATCAGAGTAAAATATAAAATTGCAATAAATTTAAAACACTTGAAATTCCCGGGAAAGTTTCCGAGATAAAAGAGAGTTGTGCTCACAGAAGTGTAAAACCCAAATGGCTGGGGCGCACTTTTTAAAAAAACCCGGGGGTTTGTATAGCGAGTTTTTGGGATAATTTGAAATCACTGTACAGTGGACCCCCGCATTTCCGTTCGCATCGCTTTTCCGTACAACCCATACCGGGCGCTTTGATTTGCAAAAAATTTTCCCCGGGATAACCCCAAAAACCCGCCCACCGTCCTTCGGGCCCAGACGCGTCCAATGGCGGCCTGAGCCAGCCTCATTTGGGTTTCCCCGGTGGGATTGTTTACCACCAGCCTCCGCGGTTAAAAACCAAACATACAAACAAAAATATTTCGTATTATTACAGTGTTTTCGGGGCTTTTTCTGGAAAAAAAGTGACCATGGGGCCCAAGAAAAACTTCTAGTGCCAACCCTACAGCAATAGGGGGAGAATTCCAATTTGAAATGAAGGAAAAAGATAAATTTATAAGTATGGGAAAAAGGAGTGTGTGTTCTGAGTGGGCCCGGTTGTACAAAAACCCAAAATCAACCCTATACTATTTTTTGGGCAACAGAAAGGCAATCAAGGAAGCTGTTCTTGCCAAAGGTTCAACTGTGTTTTTGAAACAGAGATCGCAAGTGATGGAAGATGTTGAGAACTCTTATTGGTGTGGATAAATGAAAAACACAAGCAGGAGATAGCGTCTCTCAAGCGATCATAAGCGAAAAGGCTAGGAATTGCATGAGGATTTAAATTTAAAAAAAATGCCTGCAACTAGTGATGATGTGAGTGAATTTAAGGCCAGCAAAGGTTGGTTTAAGAGATTTAAGAAGCGTAGTGGAAATACATAGTGTATAAGGCATGGTGGGGCTGCCAGTTGGGACCACAAAGCAGCTGAAAAATATGGGGCAGGAATTCAAGGAGTACATAGAAAGTGAAGGACTGAAACCCTGAACAAGTGTTTAATTGTGATGAAACAGGCCTGTTTTGGAAGAAAATGCCAAGCAGGACCCTACATTACTCAGGAGGAAAAGGCACTCCCAGGACATAAGCCTATGAAAGACAGGCTTACTTTGTTAATGTGTTCCAATGCTAGTGGTGATTGCAAGTGAAGCCTTTATTAGTGTATCACTCTGAAACTCCAGACCGTTCAGGCAAAAGAATGTCCTCAAGGAGAATTTGTGTGTCCTGTGGAGGGCAACAGAAAGGCATGGGTCACTGGGGACTTTTTTCTATGACTGGTTCCCCCAAAGCATTTGCCCCCAATGTGAAAGATTACCTAACTGAAAAGAATTAGAACTTAAGTGCCTCCTGGTGTTAGACAATGCCCCTGGTCATCCTACAGACGTGGCAGAGCGACTTTATGGGGACATGAAATTCATTAAGGTGAAGTTTTTGCCTCCTAAAACCACTCCTCTCCTGCAGCCCATGGACCAGCAGGTTATTGCAAACTTCAAAAAACTGTACACAAAAGCTCTTTGAAAGGTGCTTTGTAGTGACCTCAGAAACTCAACTGACTCTAAGAGAGTTTTGGAGAGATCACTTTAATATCCTCAATTGTGTAAACCTTATAGGTAAGGCTTGGGAGGGAGTGACTAAGAAGACCTTGAACTCTGTGGCCAGAATGTGTAGACAAAAGGGATTTTGAAGGGTTTGAGGCTAACCCTGAGAGGATTATGCCAGTTGAGGAATCCATTGTGGCACTGGGAAAGTCCTTAGGGTTGGAGGTTAGTGGGGATGATGTGGAAGAGTTGGTGGAGGAGGACAATGAAGAACTAACCACTGATGAGCTGATAGATCAACTTCAACAGCAAGAGGCCAGACCTGAGGAAACTGGTTCAGAGGAGGGGAGAGAGAAATTGAAGAAGTTGCCTACTACAAAGATTAAGGAAATCTGTGCAAAGGGGCTTGAAGTGCAAACCTTCATGGATGAAAATCACCCTCACACAGCTATTGCAAGCCGTGTTGGCAACGTTTTACACTGACAATGTTGTGAAACACTTTAGGAAGTCTAAAGGAACGAGGGGTACAGGCCACAAATGGACAGATATTTTTGTGCGAAAGAAGTCCAGTGACTCTGAAGCTGGTCCTAGTGGCATTAAAAGAAGAAGGGAAGTAACCCCAGAAAAGGACTCGACACCTCAAGTCTTAAGGGAAAGGGGGATTCCCCTTCTAAACACTAACACACTCCCTCCCCTCCTCCCATCCCATCAATCATCACCAGATCTTCAATAAAAGTAAGTGTCATGTAATTGTGCATGCCTTTTTCAGTTGTGTGTATTAAAATTAACATTCATGGGTAAAATTTTTTTTTTTTCCATACTTTGGGTGCTTGCACGGATTAATTTGATTCCATTATTTTCTTATGGGGAAAATTCATTCGCATACCGAACATTTCGCATAACAACCAGCCCTCTTTGCACGGATTAAGGTCGCTAATGCGGGGGTCCACTGTATTAGTTGAACGCCGTAAGCTGGAGCCCTACTGTACTTTATCTTGCCTAAAATAACCTACCCAAAACTGAATAAAGTATACCTAAATCTTTTTTACATGAAAATTGCCTAAAAGACATAAGCAAACACTGACATATATATTAGAAAACGTTTCAGTCCTGGGATTATGATCCCTTCTAACATATAGAGGTTGAAAAACATTATATGTACAATGGACCCCCGCCTTACAAAAGCATCGCGTTACGTTAAATCTGCCATATGAAGCATTTGAAGGCACAAATTTTGCCCTCGCCTCACGATAAAAAAATTGCCTTACGTGATTCGTCCGGGACGCATCCCACGTGTGGCCTCAGCGCCAGTGTTTACAAGCCTGCCAGTGTGGTCGCAACTACACATACATTCGGCACATTTCACATTATCCCAGTGTTTTTAGTGCTTGTAACTGCAAAATAAGTCACCATTGACCCCAAGAAAGCTTCTAGTGCCATCCCTGTGGTAAAATGGGCAAGAATTAGTATGGAATTGAAAAAAGAGATTAAGGAAATATGTGCAAAGTGGGATGAACTGCAAACTTTTACGGATGTAAATCACCCTGACACAGCTACTGCAAGCCGTGTTGGCAACCTGTACAATGACAATGTTATGGCCCAATTTAAGAAAGTCCTAAAGGAACAGGAGGTACAAAGCTCTATGGACAGATTTGTTGTGAGACAGAGGTCCAGTGACTCTCAAGCTGGTCCTAGTGGCATTAAAAGAAGAAGGGAAGTAACCCCAGAAAAGGACTTGCTACCTCAAGTCCTAATGGAAGGGGATTCCCCTTCTAAACAATAAGTTCCACACTCTCCCCTCCTCCCATCCCATCAATCATCACCAGATCTTCAATAAAGGTAAGTGTCATGTATTCTATTCTTAGTAGAGTAATAATTGTGCATGTCTTCTTCAGTTTGTGTGTATTAAAATTAATATTTCATGTGGTAAAATTTTTTTTTTTCATACTTTGGGATGTCAGGAATGGATTAATTTGATTTCCATTATTTCTCATGGGGAAATTTAATTCAGCTAACGATAATTTCGGCTAACGATGAGCTCTCAGGAATGGATTAATATTGTAAGGCGGGGGTCCACTGTAGGTAGAGAGTGAGGTGTGAGGGAGGCATGGTGACTTGAAGAATGCCATGTTGGGATGAGGATGGGTAGATGATGAGATCATGTGACTCCTGTGTTGCTTGGTAGGTGGTGCTTTGCCTGCATGAGTATCATGTATGCTAATGTTTAGGAATTTTATGGTTTTCAATGATACATTCTATTGTGTCGGTGATGGCAATTAGTAAGTCTTCTAGAAAAAAACCATACCATGGGCGGGATTTGAACCCGCAGTCAGAGAGTCTCAAAACTCCAGACCGTCGCGTTTGCAATCGTGTCATTACGATTTCGTGAGTCAAGTCTTCTAGACACTGTTGGCGTCTGAGGTCTGGTTCGGTGAGAATGAGTTGTGCCTCATCCCAGTTCATCAAATGCCCCGTGGTCTCTGTGCAGGACACAGGCGTACCTTAAATTGTTTCTGCTATAATGTCTTTCAACCTCTGTATGTTAGAAGTGATCACTATTAACCTTCAAGTGTAAATAATTGGTACATTTAACTACAAAACAATATAGGCCTATGAGGGGCCTAAATTACTGCCCAGGAAGACAAAAAAAGTTCAAAATACGACCATATATTGTAAAAAATGATCTACACACTGTAAGAAATATATTAGTGACAAATACAAGTTAATACACGAAATATTTATCTCTTGCTAAGACAAATAGGCCTATGCAGGCCTAAATTACTTGCCACTGGAATACATAAGACAAATTAATATAATATAACAGGTAAAATAAGGCTACACATCACCTGAGAGAAAAGGTAATAAAATCTAGGGGGCGAAATTTATATTTTGTAAAAAAAAAAGGTCTATGAAGGCCTAAATAATTCCCCGGGTGGGATACATATCACAAAATTGTATTATAATAGATAATTTAAATGTTACACAACAAATGTAAGAAATATATTAGTGAAATATACAAGACGAAATTTCGTTCATTGGTCTAAGATGTAGGTCTATGAAGGCCTAAATGACTTAGTAGGCTGTCAATAATAACACAAAATACCAACAAATAATGTTATATAAGTGGTAGACAAGAGCAGCTGGAAGAAATATATTGTTGAAAGATACAAGTTGAGGGAACATCAATGTTTATCATCAATAAAACAACAAAACTTAGGTCTATGACGTCATCAATAACTAACATCAATCTTAACATCAATATTTATCACATCATCAATCATCTTGGATCATCATCTCACATAAAACACAAGAAAAAACTAATAAACTCACCTGGTGGATAAACTTGTTGTTGTTGTTGTTGTTTATAGGGCCACTGACAACGTAGGTCGTACCGAACCCGACCTTCCAGTGTCCGGAAGACGATCCAAGACCAAAGTGGACGGATAAGATAAGATTAGATTTCGTTCGGATTTTTAACCCTGGAGGGTTAGCCACCCAGGATAACCCAAGAAAGTCAGTGCGTCATCGAGGACTGTCTAACTTATTTCCATTGGGGTTACCTTAATCTTGTCCCCCAGGATGCGGCCCACACCAGTCGACTAACACACAAGTACCTATTTGCTGCTAGGTGAACACGACAACAGGTGTGAGGAAACGTGTCGAAATGTTTCCACCCGCCGGGAATCGAACCCGGGCCCTCCGTGTGTGAAGCGGGAGCTTTAGCCACCAGGCCACCGGGCCACCAACTGACGGAAACTGACTAGTGGTTCACAATTTTTTTCATCCAAGCCATATTAACTACAGAAAGTTCTCTCCAACCCTTGGAGCTAATGCAAAAATGAAGCTCTCAGAATTATTATTGGGTGTCCCAAATCTACAAAGGTTCTTAATGAGGAAGAAGCTTGGTATTTCTAGTATCAGTGAGAGGATTGTTGAGATTAACACTGTACTCAGTATTAGAATGTTAAGAAATGTATCAGACACTGTCATAATGAATCAGTTGCTAAAAATATTTAAAGCAAACAAACAGGATATTGCAGCACTAAATGAATTCCAAAGGGTGAGGAACAGAGTACAGAGACTTACAAAAGGAGCAAAGGCAAAGCACTATTGCTCAAAAATTGAAGAGTATAAGCATGACCCCAGAAAGCTCTGGCAACAACTAAAACAGTTGGGGTATATCCATAAGCCAGTAGATAGGTCTAACATAGTCTCACTATCGATAATGAGGTATGCCACGAAACATCTAAGGTGGCAAATTGTTTTAATTCCTACTACACATCTGTTGCATCAACACTAGTAAGTAAACTACCAGCTGCATCAAATACCTTTAACACAGACTGATAAGTTTCAAACATACTATACCAACAAAAGGGTAACCCCAAACAGTTGCCAACTAGTAAGTGTATCTCATGACTTTATTCAAAAAGAACTAAGCTGGTTAAACCCAACTAAGAGCACTGGTCCGGATAACATCCCGTCTAAGTTTCTAAAAGATGGTGCTTCTGAACTGTCAATCCCCATTGCTCACATAATAAATTTGTCCATCACCACTAATACCGTACCGGAGGGGTTCAAGGAGGCCAGAGTTACTCCTATCTTCAAGAAAAATAGTAGGTCTGATGTAAGCAACTATAGGCCTGTTAGTATACTCAGTATAATATTCAAAATTCTAGAGAGGGCGGTGTACTGTCAAGTAGTTAAATACCTTAATGACAACAACATTCTCCATAGCTATCAATCAGGCTTTAGAAGATCTTACTCAACCGACACCTCCCTAATTAATCTGTTAATGGGGAACCTCACAGGCATGGTAACCTTAGACCTGCAAAAGGCCTTCGGTACTGTCAACACAATATATTATGTAAGAAACTTCAAGCTATCGGTATAGGTTCTGTAGACTGGTTTAAGTCCTACCTTAGCAATAGGAGACAAATTTTCAAAATCAAGAAAACGGAATCAGAACCCCTGCCGATAGCATGTGGAGTTCCCCAAGGTAGTATTCTAGGTCCCTTATTATTCTTATGTTATGTCAATGACATGCCTATCAGTGTCAAGTGCAAACTCCTACTGTATGCAGAAGACAGTACTCTGTTAGTGCCAGGTAAAGACCCACAAGGTATATCTAATGTTTTAACACTGGAACTGGAGTCCTGCAGCAAATGGTTAGTAGACAACAAACTATCATTACACCTCGGGAAAACTGAATCCATTCTCTTTGGCACGAAACATAAACTGAGAAGGGTAAATAAATTTAATGTCCAGTGTAATGGAGAGCCCATCACTTCAGTTTCCTCAGTTTCCCCTTTGACCCATGCATTCAGGAGGATTGATAGGGAACAGTGTAGTAAAGAGAACGTATGCCAGACTGAAATTCTTCTATAGACAAGCACAGTGTCTACCTACTGAGGCTCGCAGGACCCTATGTCTAGCCCTTATATACAATGTCATATGGATTACGCTTGCTCTTCATGGTACTCTGCCTTGGCAAAAAAAAAAACTGAAAGATAGCCCTGCAAACCCCCCCATAAAAAAAAAGGGTAGGATTCATTTTGGGGCGGGGGCCCAAGGGAACGTGGCCAAAGAAAATTTACGGCAGTTGGATATGTTGAATGTTGAAGACAGAGAAAAACCCAACTGAAGCTAAATCATATTTTTTTAAATTGCTCACAAAACAGTGTCCAGAATACTTCCCTTTTAAATTTTTTGTAAAGGGTTTGGGGAAACCCCAAACCCGTCTAGTACTAGGGGGAGAGAAAAAATTTTGTAGTACCCACATCTTTGGGCCAGGCTTCAAACACCTTTTTTTTGTACAGCAATGAAGGAAGGAACAGACTGCCCGCACATGTCAAAGCCATTAATAGCATAAACCAGTTAAAGAAGAGTCCCCAAAAAGGTGTCGGGGATGAATGTAGTACAAAAAGGGAGGGGAATGTTTTTTATTTTTTTAGCAAACCCACACTTTTAAATTTTCCCTTTATTCCTAGAAAATGCCCCTCGTATTGTAGATATTCTTAAGGGTTTGTTTAAAAAAAAATTTATCTCCTTTTTTTTTTTTTTTTTTTAAATTTAATAATAGATATTATCCCCTTTTTGTTTTATAAAAAATTTAAGATGAAAGGACCCCAATGGAAATAAGTCACCTGTCGCCCTTTTTTGGGTTACCCCAGGTTCTTACAATTTTGCTGCTAGTATGATAATTCTATTTTGGTGGAATTTTTGGGAAAAACCGAAAAAGTTGAAGTTTGAGACACTTATGAAACATAGGGGAATTTCTTTTTTTCAGGAAACGTTTCGCCACACAGTGGCTTCATCATCCGTAAAAAAGGGGAAAAAGGTGAAAGGGAGAGGAGTTTTTGAGGTTAACCCGTCCCTCAGTGGAGTCAAAGTGTTCGGGCCCACCCAATCTTGAAAAGGTTTCCATTCAACAAGTTTGATGGACTGAAAACATGGGACCCCAGGCTGGGGACGGATTCCCTCAAAAACCCTCCCCTTTTACACCTTTTACTTTGTATCGGACTGATAAAGCCACGGTGGCGAAACGTTTCCTAAATTTAAAGATTCCCATATGTTGCATAAGTGTCTCAATCTTCTTTGATAATCTATATAACTGTATTTGTGTCCCCCTGAAAAATTTTCCTTAAACTTATTACTTACTTACCAAGGGTTAGAGAAAAATACACTTAGATTAAAGGGATTGGGAAAACGGCTGTTGCATTAATTTTTATAACCTGCATGAACTGTATCACTGTAGGAAAAAAGAGCATTTCCCCCCTCCAGGGAAAGGATGTGTTCATTTAATATCACATCCCTAAAAAATTTCCCCCCCAAGAAGCTCTTTGTTTGAACCCCTTCCCCTTAAAAATTTTTGTTAGAGCAATGTTTCAAAAGGAAATTTCTCACCTAGGGGTAGTAAAAAATTTTTTCAAATGTTAATCCCACGGATGGATCAAAACGGGGGGTCTTTGGGCCCAGGGCTGCATTGCTTTTGGTTGCCACCCCCCTATTTAAAGACCCATAATAAATTTGTTGAGTTAGGCATAAGAATTAACAACGGGGCTTCTACCCCTCCCCCAAACTAAATTTGTTTGCAACCCCAATGGCGCTAAACTAAACCTAGGGACACGGGATTTTGACTTTTTAAAAATCATTATGATTCTATGTCATTTTTAAGGCTTTTTGATCTTATAATGACTCCAACAAAAAATGCCATTGGAAAAAGCCTTGCATAGAGCTAAAAATTCCGGGAAAAAGGGGAATTTAAATGTACAATTCCCTTATGGACCCAATCACACATTCGATTCTCCTTCATGATAAAGTTGATATGTTACCCGAGAAGATAGCAAGGAGAATTTTAAAAATAAATTTTGGTATATCTGTGTCTAGCTTAAGGATAATATTGGGGGAGAAGAAAATTTCCCAAAATTAAAATTCAAATTCAAATTCAAAGTTTATTCTCTTAAAAGGATTACAATGCTGTTTAAACGGGAATTTGGTTATTGTGTTTTTTACAGGGTATTAAAAAAATGATTACAGAGTGTACCACTAGAACACTAGCAGGGTAGGTTTTAACAGGGGTGACCACTAGAACCCTAGCATGGTAGGTATTAGAGTGTACCATAGAAACCTAAGGGGCCTAGCATTTCGGGCAGACTTATTTTTAATTTTTTAATTTTTTAAAAAAATTACAAATTATGAGGAAAATTTGGGGTTTTAATGGCTAAGGGGATAAATACTTTTTTGGGTGATTTTTAGCAATGTGAATGCTTTTTTTTTGGGACAGACAGTTTTCCCGTTTGGGTATCACGGGATTCTTTTTTTTAAAATTAAAGACCCAAACCCGTACACTTTTTTAGTGCCCAGCGTGCCTTTTTGGGGCCTGGGGTTTTTTCTCGTTTTTTCAGGGGTTCGCTCTTACGTGCTAAATTTTAAATTTTTGTGTCTCAATCCTATACGATACATCCCTCTAGCGCCGGGAAAACCAAATTAAAACATTTTAAAAAGGAAAAATACCCGGGTTTTTAGGAAAAACATTATGCAACAGTTTGGGTTTTTTATTAAGAAAAGTTTTCGCCTTTCACAGTAGGCTTCTTCAGTCGAGTACAGAAAAGTTGATAAAAAGCAGAAGATACTTGAAGACATGTAATCAGTCCCCTCACCCTTATATTTTTATTCTATGGAACAAAAGCTCTTCTCCAGACTGAGGGACTGACCACCTCAAAAATTTAAGGGTGATGGACTGATTACATCGTCCCTTTAAGTTTCCCTTTTGCTTCTATCAACTTTCTGTACTTTACTGAAGAAAAAACCAAATGTTTTAGGCTTTAAAAGTTTCATTAAAAAAAGATACCTAACTGTTCTTTTGGTCTTTCCTA